CCCCACAAACAACATGCCTTTCACAAGTTTCTCTGCGGTTTTGGGCTGCTCTCGGCAAGCGCAGTCCAATGCCATGTTCAAAAAAACATAAAAAAAATTATTGGGGCACCTTTTCAGAACCGCCTCCTCCCCCCCCCGGTCCGTCTGTCCCCGGCCTGCCCGGTCGGGCGGCGTCCTAACTCAGAAAAATAGTGCTTTGATCTTTCAGAGCAGAGTTGAAAGAATGTTCTCTTGTTTGTTTGCTAAATATTTGAAAACAGGAACCTTCCCGAAGTCGCGTCCGCATTCAAGATTCTGAAAGTGCCAAGCGTCAGCGCCCGATTCGGGACAGACCCGTTCTTTTGGAACTTAGCCATGGAGGCGGTGGCTGCTCTGGTTCCTAAGGTAGACTATCTTGGGGCATACTTTTAACTGAACCTGGCATCAAATGTTTGTCAAATACATCCATACTTGCCCTTGCCCATTTTGACTGAATCTGGCATCAAATGTCTGTCAAATACATCCAGGGAAGTCCTGGTGTGCTCATATATGGCCTGTAGACTTGGTAGGCACCAGGAAGCATGCAGTTTTTTTGTCGAAACTAGCGAGCATGGCAGGATCTTCATCAAATCTCTCTTTTGTGAAGTTTAGGTGCTTGGTGGAACCAAAAAAAAAAAAAAAAAAAAAAAAGGTGCTTGGTGGAACCGAGGTGCGCTCTGTTTAGTGCTGAAGACAGGAGGTTTGAGTGCAACCATAGACAGTGAGATCTTAATGTTTTCTGGAGACCGGACAATTTTCGCCGTTTATTGCATGCGTGCATGTCGCTCAGCGCAGCGCAACGCAGCGAGGCCCTCACGCCGTTTATTGCATGCATGCATGTTGCTCAGGGCACTGATGCAGCGTAGCGCAGCGCAATGAGGCGCCCAGTTTTATTTAAGATCCTCTTGGTTTCTGGAAAAAATGTCATCTTGCAAATGACCGATTGGATTGATTTCAGTTTATGCTGAGTCGTCAAACCAAAGTGGGATTCCGTCTCAATCAAGTGTGAAAGTGCGATGATGGTTGGATGTGAATAAAAATTAATGGGAAATGTTATGATAGCCCTTCAGAGTTTAAACTTGGAAGAGAAGGCGGGTGTTTGTGCCAATTGCACGGCGTGTTCCGCCCCCTGCCCCACCCCCCACCCCCCCCAAAACAAACAAACAAACAAACAAACAAACAAACAAAAAAACAAACAAACAAACAAACAAACAAACAAACAAACAAACAAACAAACAAGTTGTCATCGGGTGTTCGTGCCAATTGCACGGCGTCCACTTCTCACCCATGCAGAACAAAACATTTGGACCATTTCTCGATTTTTTGTATGTGTAGTCTTTGCACAGGGGCCATGGGGATCTTCTCCGTATTGGATTGGACCTATCTGTATCAATTTTAAAAATTTTCATCGATGTCCCGAAGGACGGATTTTGGCTATTTAGGTTCTGCTATCCAACTTTTCTTGCCCCCCTTCTTACCTGCCTGGCTTTATTTTTAGTATTTTGGCTATTTTGCAGGGCTGGTCCGGGAACCGGCCGGTTGACTCACCCCGGTTCACCCGGATCTGGATCAGTGGGGGGGGAGGGCAACCGGAAAACCGGATTAAGCAAAAAAACGTCTTTTTTTTTTTTTTTTTTT